TCAATAATAATGTTATTGTTGGTCTTCAAGTTTACGACTAATTTTTGGGTGATTGTTGATTGCTGAATGCCTGTTAGTCTCTGAATTATTGTAACTACTTTTAATTGTTCGATAAATCAGTAATAGACTTAATACTGTGTGCTTAGTTCGTTAGCTTACATTAGTAATAACCCAGTATTTTAAAGTGGAATTGTGATATCTTCAGATCATCGTGGGAATGCGTTTTCGAGTTTGGAGTCGCCGTGGTCCAGCACCACTTTTTCCACCCTTATATGGACCTCCACCTGGTGGTGCACCTTCAGGACCGGTATTTGCATGCCGACCAATGTCATTCGATTTAGCACTCTGTGAAGCTAGTTTTCCAAGGATCAAAGAACTGGATGATACCGATTTGGCACAAGTATTCCACATTGTTTTTTATCTTTGCTATATGATTCAATATTATGTTCTCATTCGTTTATTGATGCTAACTTTCCTGTTGCGATATTTGATACATGATGCTATTTTTCTAAACTGTCTCAGAGTTTTTCTTTCTTTTTTTTAAGGCAATAACCAAGCGGCATCAGGAAATTACGCCAACGCCAGTTGAACAAACGGCGGTTCTTGGATTGATTTCAAAAATCAAGGCTGCAATTGAGAAGATCAGCGCTGCCCCCGATCTTCTGCCCTCTGTGGTAAGCTAAGCTACTTTAGAATAGAAACAAGTTGTTATACAAGAACTGCTTGCTTTTAATAAGAAATCTATAGCGTTGTAAGGCATTTTGAGTAATAGTATTTATTTATAAGGGTGTCGCTGAAGATTATGCTTGCAGATCGTAGTAATTTAATGCTAGGATTTGTGGATTACAAAGTATTAAGTGTATGCTGTTGAATCCATGGATTTTTACTGTTTTCAGACCGTTGAAGAATTTCGAGAGGTAGGATCATTTCGCAAAGGTACTATGTTGGCTGGTCATAATGTTGCAGATATTGTTGTTGTATTGCGTTCGCTTCCGACAGGTATATTCAAATGAATCTCTTGAAACTAATTCTTAGATTTCCAACGTTCGCCAGACTCGTGCAAATTCAGTGTATTGCGGACGTGGTTGTATATGGAGTGTGGCGGGATATCAATGTCGCCTTTATAGATGCTGCTCATCATTTAAGCATTTATTTTAATTACTGCTAATCTTTATTTCAGTGGAAGCAGTATCAGCACTCGGGCAAAAAATTGTTGAAGAGCTAAAAGCCAATGATAAAGAGGGTTCGTTTGCTTTCATATTTTTATTTTCTTAATTTTCTTGCACACTTTTTTATTTTTCGCCATTATTCACAATTATATGCTTACTACTCACATCAGAGCAGCTATGTTATACCTCAATTCTGGGACTGGCTTTAATTTTGTGACTTCTGAATGTTGGGCTTAACTTTCTCTCTTTTCACTCTTTTTTCTTTTGGGGAATGCAGTTTTATTTCCTAACTTCAGTGTATGGATGCATTTCTCGAGATTTCGGTTGTGAGTTAGCTGGGCCAAATGCGGTTGTACGGTTATTGATAACTACAGTTCCATCCAACGCAAAACTTCTCGAACCTGATCTTCATTGTACAGTTTTTATACTTCGACCTACCTTATTCACTGGAATTTGAAAATTAAGATCACGTCACTTTTAATACTGCTGTAGTTTTTGAGATTTATATATATATATATATATATGTATATGTATATGTATATATGTATATATAGATATACATATATACATATATAATTTATTTTATTAAATCTCTGAATGGCGGTTAAAAAATATGTTTTTTTTTAGTGAAAGAGAGCATAATGATTTCCCATATGGCTGCCCTGAGACATGCTCGATGGTTTGAAGAAAATGCGTCAAATCCAACTATTAAGGTTAGTATGATGATGTAATCGAGGTAGTATTATACTAGTAAAATGTTTTTAAAAATTATATAAAATTTCATGAGGTGTGTTAAATAATTTCCGTAATTTCTATAAAAATTTTCCTCTTTAACCAATGAACATATTTTGCAGATTTTAATTCGCATCATGAAAGATATTCGTAACCGTTTCGATCAATTGAAGGACTTGAGTGTTTGGAATATAGAATTAATTGTATGTTGACTTTTCTGGATTTTTCATAAGCGATTGTATGAAATATTGTCTGGTTTTAATTTCAAAAAATATATGGGCTTTTTATTCCTAAGCAGGATTACACTACTGCGCAACTTTTTCAGATATTTAAAATGATGAAAATGAAGAGGGTAAGTAGTTGGAAACATGGTAAAAAGAAATGTCTCTCGATATTTGTTTTTTTCACTAGTTTGATTTAGTCACATTATGCAGTGGTGAATACAGCATCACAACAACCGCTTTCTGCTAGTCAAGCATTTCGACGGTTTTTCCAACTTCTTGCTGCTGGATTATTACTACCTACTTCACCGGCTCTAAGTGACCCTTGCGAGCAGGCTCGGCGTATTCATCAGTCGCTAACTTACGAGCAGATGGTTAGAATTGATGTTGTTCTGGAGCTTCTGATCATTCAGTTTTCTTTTATACTTGTTGGGACCAAGAATAAAAATAGAACTACCCAATAACTCTAAAGTTTTTCATCTGAAGAGCTCTCTGATGTTTTTTGAGTTTAGAAATGTTGTTGTGTTACTAGTTTTTAATGCATGTGCTAAAGTTATATTGGATTGCTGTACTTTTGCTTTTATAAATTCTCTTATTCTGCATGGGCACTTCATTTATTTTTTCAGGATCAGTTATGTAGCTCATCACAGACATTGTTGCGAATTATCTGTCATGGCGGTTACAAGCATGTGTTAGGGCTGGAGACCTCAAAAAGCGGTTAGTGTTTTCCTGGTAACATTTTATTTCTCTGTGTTCATTAATCTGAGGCTGGAAGTTGATCCTTGAAGAATGAATTCCTCAATATTTGATTTGGAGTTATATAGCTCTTTTGATTTATAGATTCTGAGATTTTTAGGACTGGTAACCGATATGACATTTTGGGGTGATGTGATTGTAACACCGTTAGAAGCAGCTTATGTTGACAAAGTAATGGAGCCCATGTACGAGGATGAAACTAGTGGTGATAAATCAGATGAAGCAAGGACTGATAGCATGGATACTTAAATCTGAAAAGGATTTAATTGTACTTTTTATTCTATTTCCAGATACTTTGCATAATAAATATATAGTTTCTGGGGAGTAAAAGACCATTTTTTATTTTTTTGGTAGTGGTTCCTATTTAATCTAATAATTTCTTAGAGTTCTTTTTTTTCCCAAATCCATAACTTTTCGACTACACCTGTAATTCTGAAACTGTGACATAGTTTGCTGTTAATTCTGAACTTTTTGAACTAATCTTGAAATTAGTTTGCTGTTAAGTTTATCAGGTTCTTGAGGACCGAATTTTAAATATAATTCAACTTCACTCATTTCTCTAAGGTGATTTTTGATTTTTTGATTTTTGTTGATTTTCTGTCCTTTATTTTAATGTTCAGTCCTGAATTATAAAAGTTGTTATTTGTATGGTTTTGCATGGTTCAATTATATGGTAGTTGTACGGTTCAGTTCTGAATTATAAGGACTGTTATTTATATTGTTTTTTATTGCATTGTTTTCATACTCTTTTCTCTAAACTTTAGTGCTTTATGGTAGATGCAGTCTAATAAAGATTCAGATAATTGCTTTCTTCTTCGTCTTTCTAAAGTTAAGGGACCACATTCTTTTTTAGATTACCTCGATATTTCTTCCTCTCCTCTACTTAGTTATTTGAGGATTTTGAAATAGGCTTTTAAAACAGTTAATCTTTTTTTTTGCCACATTCAGTCAGGTTTGAATTGGTTAATGCTTCATAAATCGAAAATATGAGTTTGCATTTAACATAACGATATAAACTCAGGCTTTACATATCCGGTCATTCCTTGCGAATCTCAGTACTTCCGTTTTTGTGGAAATTGCTTGAGAATCAATACTAATATCCAAAGGATCTTGGAAGGCTTGTCTAGATTGCCTTCTTTTCCTTATTTCTTCCTTATCCGCGTAGTCGTTCATATTCTCCGAAAATCAGCTATATTCCTCCCCTGCTATATATTACATACAGTGGATAATACTTTTTTTCTGGTTATGATCTCATATATTGAAATGATTTTTTTCTTACCATTTGCTTTTGGCTGAAAGATCATCTATGATGCTGTGGATAGTCACAGAAGAAGGCTAACAACTGATATTCGTTAATGAATATCATTTGTTGTAGTTATGGATTTATTTATATTCACTTTTCCAGAATATTATGGCTCAACGTCCTATGTCATCATTGCCTGGTCCTTTCGATTTGATGATGCCAAAAACTCTTGATGTAAATACGATAACTGAAGCATTAAATCGAATGTTTCCCTCACTTCAGCTTATCCCTGCTGATATTCAGAAACCAACGGTAAGTATTCTTTTATCTTGAGGAAAGCTACTTTTAAGTCTTCATTACCAAAACTAAGGTTACATTCCTGTATTTGTTGGGGTATTCAAATCGGTTTGCTCCGTTTGTTTCACAAGGCTTTCACATAAATAAGTCGTTTACTTTATTCTCGTCAATTGTTTTTTTTTTACTAATGGAGAGATTGAACTTATTGGTGCTTACAGCTCAGTACCGATCAGGAAATGCCGTTACGGTATAAAGTCGTTAGATTAAATTTGAAAAGTTGAATTTCTGTGTTTGAGAATTTCTAGATTTAGACTCCTCTGTATATCTGAAATTCAAGCAGTAAATGCAAACATTCATTCCTCTTTCGAGGATCTAAGGATGTGTTATTCTTACTAATCAAGGAAAAGGAGATGTAGTTGAGATAGAGAAAAATTTAAATAATGGGGGAAGAAAATAACTACTTTATAGATTTATGTCACCGATCTGATTTCTTTCACCATAATTTTGGATCTTTATTGGCTTAATTTTATATAAGAAATAGGACTTTGAGGCGATATTTTCTTATATGAATCTTCATTTGAGCTTATATTAGTATTTCCTACTTCTTAGAACTAGTTCGAAATATATTGTAAGGTCTATTCTTTCTGAATGTAAAGGTGACAGCGTGCAATATATATAATGATTCTTCAAAACAGCTAGTTAAACCAGATATTGTCATTTCACTTATTTATTAGCCCTGATCCGAAATTGATTTCATTTTTCCTCTCAAATCAGGTTTTGTTCAAGCTAACAGTAGTAGGAAGAAGTCCTATAATCATGAAACTTACTGTGTTTCAAGTTCATTACATTAAGTCACAGCGTAACAACGGAAATTTCATTGTGAGCGATACGTGATTTCAGGCTGAATTAGTGCATACTATATATCAGTATATCACCCAGTACATCATGGATATTCCGGATGCTCTATATACAACACCACCATTTACATTTAACAATGATAAGGATATGGATTTATACACTCAGGCATATCCGAAATTAGTCATCTTTAAAGCTCTGTAAGTCATCCAAGATATATTGCGCTTTCTTTTGGTGCTGCTGACTGTCATTTTGTGGAAAACACATAGTTTTCTAGATCTTACTATACCATTATGTGATAATAAAAGTAGGATTCTTGAAATCTGTCGCATCAAATATAAGATTAAATCTAAAAGACAAGAATACTCTACCAGCCAGGACTGAGAATTCTTCAAATGGATGACTGTTTGTAGTTGTTAAGCTTTTTTTAGCTTGAATTCACCGGCGTGAATGATGATTTTGACTCAGGAGTCATCTGTTTGCTTAAAGAATTTGACTTTTTCTGATTCCAAAAATCTCTTCATTTGAATGAATAATAGAGAATATTCTAGGTCTGCTATTGTGGAAGATATTTCATCAAATGAAATCCAGTTCAGCTATCTCGATTTGATCGCTCCAGAACCAGGACCAACACGGATTCTTCTTTCAACCCTAATCAATTTCATTGAATTCACAACAAATGCTGTTGCGGTTTGACTTTATTATTTCATGATATTATACTCAAATGAAAAAGCAACTGCGTAAATGTTATATATGATCTTCCTTATTTCATAAATATCTTCAACTCGAATTTTTTTTGTGGATTTGTCATTTATTTTTCATTTCGTTTCTCTGTGAGCGTATACTAATAAACTGTGGCGATATCCATTTACGGTTCCTAATGTTAACAACGCGTGGTTTATTTTTGCTAATTACTTCTGTAATGCAAAACACTTCGGCGTCTCGCATCACTTCGCTTATATAAGGCTGATATATTGGTGTTGGCTGCGCTTTCTCGACTTTTTTTTTTTAAAAAGCAAAAACAGTGCTACATTGATATTTGCCATCGAAACTTGTGAGTTAACTCTCTTCGAAAACGATGTAAGTTACTAAATAACCTTTCAACTTTCAGAAAGCGCATGATATATTCAGCAGTGTTGATAGTCGTAAAAGTGAGCTAGAATCCAAAGGACGTGATGTTATTGATCTTAGGAATGAAGTACAACGTTTGCGTAACGATGCAACTAACCGAAAACATTTGGAAAATGAGGTAATTGGATTATCAGCTAAGCGAAAGTAGTTTTTTTTCCCCACTTATTTGAGTCGTTGTCTTGTCTTATGAGGACACATAATGTTGCCGTATTGTAATGACTCGCAAAAGTGTTAGCACCAAGTCACTTGTTCTGCGACAATCGTGTGATGTTTTCTTTATTGCCATCACCAGGGAATTAGTAATGAAATCTTTTCAGTTCCGTGAAAAAATGGAAATCCTAGAGCGTAATATAAAAGATACATATGTTCAAACAGAAGCAATCCAGATGGAGCTAAAAGCAGTTTGCGAAGTTAATATCGAGACGGAAAAGAAACTGGTGCATTTTTTTAATCTAATGGTGGAAACTGATCGAAATAGTAACTTTTACATTTTGAATTTCATGGATTTGTGCTGTTTTTTTTTCTTCGAGGAAGCGATCCAATCCTTTGGAATAATTTAAATGTTTATATATTTAAAAAGATTTTCATAGGAGGAAGCCCAAAGTGAAATTAAACGCCTAACATTTCAAATTGATGTTATTGATCGTGATATTGTCAATTCACCTGACCGTTTGAACGCTGATTTAAATGAATTAACGAAGTATTTTGAAAATATTCAGAAGGAAATTTCTACAGAAAGGTTGGTGCACGTTTTGGAACGTTTTGTTTTTGTAAGCTGAAGTACTGTTCATGCAATTCCTTCGAGTTTCCAAAATTTTTCTTTTTTTATTTTTCACTTCCTTGCTGGTTTTGAAATTTCTTTGAGAGCTTTTAGGCTTGTCCAAGGTAAAAATTGGAATTCTGTCTGTCGAAAGTGAATAGTCTTCCTCGTAATTTTGAATTAGGCTGGACGGATACTATTGAATGTTAGGAAAAAGAAGCACAGCTAAGATAGTCAACTTCAGCAACTCAACGAACTGATTTGCTTCGAGCTGTGATGCATGTTCGATGTGTGCTTGTAGCATCACCTACTACTGCAAGATATTGTGCAAGAAAAAAACATTGTTGGGATGTTAAACTTATGTTGTTTTATGATTTCAGTCGTAAGAAATGGGAATACAAGGAAAAGCAAAAGGTTACAACGATGATTGCTCGATCTATAGAACATTTTATGGAGATTTTGAATAAATTGCGTGAGCGTCAGGTGTAGAATGTTATTTTTCATTCAAATATTTTGTGTTGTGATTTTATTTTTTCCTTACTGAGGATGTGTATTCCCCATGAATATTAGACTTCATATATATCTTTTCGGTTTGCTTAAAATTTCCAAGAGTTGCATTTTTCACAGTACCAAAACTACTGGTTACGATGTTTCCAGTTTTTTTAGCATTTTCTTTTCTCATTCTCCATTCTTTATTTGATTTCATACTTGATATAATTTAAATTTAAGGTTAGCTTTTAAAAGCTTTTTAAGCAATTAACTTTTTAAGCAAATTAGCAAATTTTAAGCAAACTTTTTAAACAATTTAGCTTTTTAAGCAAAACCATTTCTGTTTAAGAAACTGCTTTTAATTCTAAATGATACATCCGTTTTTTTGGACTTGCAGAAAGAAGGTGCAGTAATCGAAGAAGCTGTAGCCGTTGCGGAGGAGCAGCGTAATGAAGCGGAAGAAGGTTACACGAATATAGAAGAGAAATTGACGAAAGAGGTAAATAAATTGCATACGATGGAAAAAGAATTCGAAAAGGAAGAATCACTTCACGAGAAATCACTAAAAGATAATAACGAACATTTGGCGACATTAAATGCGTTCGTTTTCGCTTATTTTTCTGCTTCGATTTTGTTCATTTTATTATCCTTAATCACTTTTCCTTATCCTCATTAATATCGTGAAATTCATGGACGGAATTTTAAAATTTCTGTTTCTTTTATAATTTAAATTTGATATATGAATTAAAACGTATACTTGAATTGAAGGAAATAGATTCTTGTAATATTCTTTACTAATTATGCATACACTCCAGTTTTTCTGAAAATATAATTTGATACTACTAATTTATTTGTATTAAGTAACTATAATTTCACTCCTTCATTTTAACTTGCTTATTTGCCTTGTCTGAAGCGATTCATATATTTAATTTGCACAGAATGAGTTAGCATTTTTTTTCTTTATTGGTTCTTATATTCTACTGCTTCAAATCCTTTTCACTTTTTTTTTCCAATTTTTTCAATGTGCATTTCTTGTGAATTCCTCATAGTTAGTTATGAATTCCTCATGTGCGTTAAAATTATTTTCACGCTTGATATATATTAGTCGAATGCCAAAATGCATTCGACACCAATCCATTCGTCAGAATGCCCGTGTACCGCGGTGTTTGTCCTGCAGGTATGACAACGCTAAAGATCAGTGCATGCCTGTATTTATTCATAATTTCTTTAAATATTCTATTTCTTCACGGAATTTGTCTCAATTAAACTAGTAAGAGAAGAAAAACTGGAATCTAATATAATGGGACATTTCACTAATAAAATATTTGGATCTTCTTTAGTTCAGATAAAATTCTTAGCTTAATTTAGTTCAAATACGTTTTGCTTAACGTACAAATGGTTTTCCTTCAGTTTTTGTCAAATTACATATTTTGTAAATATTCGGCTTTAAATATGACATTTCCAGACAAGTGAAGGATCTTCGTCGGCGGATGCAAGATTTTGATAAAGAGAATGTGGAAGTGCAACGAGAAATCGGGAAAGTAAAGAATGAAATTGCAGCATTGAATCGAACAACAAATGGAGAAATTCGAAATTTGGCTATGCGTCTTAGCGAAATCCTTAATAAAGTTCATTTTTCCAACTCTTTTTTAAGCTAATTTCCAAGTTTACAAGTTTTTCAATAATTTTATCATTCCAGTTTTTAATTTCCTCTTTAGATTTCTGTTAACTGTTTTATAGGTTTTCTTTTTTTTTTTTTTCAGAGAGATGCCTTCGGACAGCACCTCCGATGGTGATACCACTATCCCTCTCCCTCTCCTTGTCTTCATTACTATATTTAATTTATAATTATGATTTTATGCAAATATATGGGTGCTGCATGAGTTTTAAAAATGAAATTTTAATAGCGGCTCTAGCAGGAATTTATACAGTCGAATTAAGAATCCTACTAATTTCGTTTTGTTATAGTATGAGGAAACTGTGAAGCTGTATGAAGAAGATTACAAAAGAATGGATAATTTAAGCAGTAACCTGATCACCATGCTAAATGGGTCCGATGGTGACACCACCTTCGATACATCGCTATCAAGCAGTATGTTGAGTGAACGAAATATAAGTTAGAGACGACAAAAATCAAGGAAAGGAAACCAGAATAATATCCTTAACTCAATTTATCAAATATTTAGAATTTTCCTCTTAAGAATTAGCCCTATGATTTGTGTTAAAATAATTGCAGTAAACCCAGGAGAGAGAATAAAAATTAAGTGAAGTTAATAAATCACTGAGAAGTTTATTCTTTTTTTTTAAATTTCAGAAACTCGCATTTCTAACAGGACCCACTTTAAACTATTTCAATGTCTTATTTTAGTTTTGAGATGAAAGGGAGTAGGAAGAAAAAAGAAACGAGTGGTTGTAAGAGGAATGAAAGAATTAATAAAATCCTTTTCATATTATTATGACTTAGCTCTTTTGGACTTTAAATGTCATTATTCACTGCAAATGTTATGCAATGGTTGTCCCTTATCTTTGTTTTAATGTGTACTAATATTTTGTGTACTTTAATATGTACTTTATATATCTACTTCCATTTTGATTTCTTTTGTAGTTTTTTTTATTCATTCCATCTTTTTGTGTTATCCCAATGACATTGGATTTCAAATTTGAAACTCATATGAAATGTACAAATCTTATGTTCGCTAATCGCAGGCAGATTTCATATTAATTTTTCTAGAATTTCTGTGTTTCAGTTCATGTGTTTCATATTAACTCCTATATCACTTATCAGAAGCATAAGTAATCGGAAATGTTTTTCTGTTATGGGATTAGTAGGCGGATGAAACAAGTCATTTTCACCTATTTTGACAAAATTTATTAAAAGAAAAATCATGAAGTAATTGCCATTATACCTCAGTTTGATCTTGTTTTGTAATTCCTTATGTTTTTTTGGAATCGATTTTGTATATAGTCGAAAATGCTTCGCCATCATTTAATTTTGCAATCGACATGCTTTCATACTAGAAGGCTGCTATGGACTGATGTTCGGAATTGGTGAATACTATAACCAATCTGATTTTATTTTCAGCCGCTCATCTGAAATGAGAATTCAGTGAACTGTCTACGGTTTCTATGGGAAAGTGATAGTGATTTAAAAATTGAAGTTTTTAGATCCAAATATTTTTTATCAAAAAAATTAAATTATAATTTGGAGAAATAATATGATGAATAGATTTTTATTGCGTCTATTAAAGGAAAATACTCTTTAGGTTGCTGTTTTTTCTTTCTTTTTTTTCGTGATCATAACGTAAAAGGAATATTTGTGTAATGTTAACAGACGTTTACATCATTTCAATTATATTAAAAAGAAAGTTCTTATCATAAAAATATGGACTGTAACTGATGAAACCTGCAGTATTAGATGATTCCATATGTTGTGATATTTTATGCGATACTTTAAGCGGCTTCTGTGCCAAAAATCGTTCAGTTGTTCTGATGAATGAAGGATACTGCGATGCTCTAATCAGGGTTTTATCATTCCTGCTGCTAGTGTTGCTTTCTTTGAGTAGATCCTGTTTATACCTTGATCGACCGCCTTGTCTTACTGTTGACATTGGTTTAGTAGTATAGTCGGTCTTCAGTGTGCGATTCTTGTCAGGTGGAAACTGGAATTTTATTTAAAATTTTAAATTAGTATTATATAGAATTATAAAATAAATTATTGTAAAATTCCAGAGAAAGGTATATTTTATGTTCAAGGATAAATTTTTTGTTTAGTTATAAAATCTTAAACAATTATCTGTGATTCTTAAGTTATCGAAGCTTGATCAACAATTGATGGTTAATGGTCAATCAATAATCTATATACTGTATACTGTGCATCTTTCGAAGTCTTCTGTTGATCTAACTAACCCTGCTGACATAATCAGGATTCCAAATCCATATATAATAAATACTCATTGATGTTGCTGGTAATGACACAAAAAATATATAGCCTATTACTGTACAGCATCGTATCCATCTGAAATTCCCTTAAAATATCAGTATCTCGAATTATTTCAGCATCATTTAAATTTTCTACTGGAAATTGTTATGGGTTGAACCTGAAACCATGGATGTATCATCTAGATGTAAATATATGTAGTGTGTTGGTGCGGAATTCCGTACCTGGATTTGATGGTTAAGTTCGATTCGATTGCAATGCTTCACGAAAAGCACTGAATTGATCCAAACAAATGGACAATTTAGCCGTCAAAGGAAGCAATAATACGAAAATTTGGATCTTTATTGGGTGAGGCTAGGCTGTATTAATAAGCTTTAACCTCAAAGAAGTTCCAACATCTTTCTTCAATGAAAAATGAAGGAAGGTAAAAATGGCTTTATCACTTTACAATAACTTATCATAAATTTTGCTATGAAAATTAGGAAAAAATATTGGTAAATCTGTATTATACATTTACAATATTTATAAAGTAAAAATGAAATTTCAAAAAAAAAAAATTTGAAAAATAAATGAAATACATCATTTTTTATTTAACATACAACTAACTTTTTACTTTCTCGTTGCGTAAATTTGGCTCGTTTATCAGATGTATATATTGGTTCTTTTATCCTTAATCGAGTTGTTGTAGTTAATGAATTATTTGACATTGTTAAATTCGTCCACTTACTTCTTCCTCTTCTATTAATTAACATGAAATAATAATTGGCTGAAGAGGTAAAAAAAAAAAAAAACTTCAAAATTATTATTCAATAACTATTACAATGGATACATATATATATATATATGCATGTACGTGGAGACAGACATAAATAAAAGTAAATATATTACAATGAATTTAATATTATTACTTGTAATTTATATTTAATTATTAACGTATACTAATTAACAACAATACTTAAATGTATGCTAATTAGTAATAATTTTCATTACTATATTTATATAATTTAAGAGATTACATGAAATAATGTGAAATTAGAAACAAAAAAAAAAAAAAGAAAGGAAGGATTTATAATAGAAGGGAAGACTTTTATTTGACTGAATTAATAAATAAATAAAATGGGATAATGGAGTAGAAGAGGATGAGTGAATAATTCTTGGATCAATAGTTTGAATGTTGAAGAAGAAGTGGAAGAAGAAGCTAAGATAGAGAATTGAAATGCTTCGTATGAATTGATCAACAAGCTTAGTTGTGATAGTTTGAAAAGGCGACATAAGCAAAAGTTAAAAAGTTCAATGAAATAAGAAGAGAATTTGTTGATGATACAAAGCAGAGTATATTGAAATGCTTCCTATTGAGTGAAATGAATAAAATGGAAAAAAAAAAGAAAAAGAAAAAGCGCAAATAGTTTTATAATGTTTAGTTATGAAATAAAAACAAAAAAAAGAAAAAAATAACGTTTGAAAAAAGTTTTTTTTTTTTGATAAAAATTTAGAATAATTTTATCAAATTTCTATTTGTAATATTTGTTAATTAATGCTGATTAACTTAATTAATTATTAATGAATCGATAAAACAGAATGGTTTTTATCCTTTGATTAATTATCAATTAGTTTTATTTGTTACTTCATGGAAGTGTATCGATTTATTTGATTGCTATTTTCGTGTGAGAATTTTTTGATAGTATTTTTAGAAAGAAACAAAAAAAAAAAGTTTAAAGTCTTAAAAATTTAGTTTAAAAAAAAATCTAAAAAAGTTTTTTGAAAGAAAATTGAGTTTAAAAACAAAATAATTTGAAATAGGAAATTAAAATTTATTCGTAGTTAAGAGAAAATTTATTATGGATATTATTTTAAATAGATAAAATTTATCAAACAATGCATTCATTTAATAAGAATGATTTCAGAGGTGCTCGGTTTATTGCTTGGCCAAATAGCTATCCTATCGATGCAACGATTCTTTAAGGCTATGCCAAAATCATGGATACATCAAAATGTACATCCGTTTATTCGACAATTCCTTCGATGTGATATGTCAACAAATATTAACAATAGTAACAGGTTATTTTCATCGATTATTCAAGTACTTGGCTTTTTTTCTTTTTTTTTTNTTTTTTT